TCCCAGAATTCCTGCTAGCTCCGCCCCTGGGCCCTCGCTTCTCTCCCTGGTGCTGCTGGGAGTTGTAGTTTCCAGTCACTGGAGTACGGTGTAGGGTCCAGAAAGCTGGAGTGGGGGGTGGGGTCCACGAGACTCTGCAGCCTCCTTGAGGACGTCCTTCCCCGTAACAGGGTCACACCCAGGCCACGTGGTGACAGCCTGAGACTGGCCCCTGGGCCACTGGGGAGGCCACCTCCTGTCACTTGCCTTTGGCAGCGACCACTGTGGCCACGCCGCGGCCTCAGCCAGTCCGGCTGAGCACACTGGGGCCTTTCCCTCTGGAGCTGTTGCCATGGCCTCGCACCGTCTCGCGCACTCACCGCCTCCAGCCTCTGCAGCTCAGTCCCCGCCGGTCTGCCCTGCGCCTGGGGCTGCCCCTGCCCCGCCGCGCGGTTGGTTTCCTGTGCCCGGGTTCGCGAGGGCTCGCAAACGGAAACGCGACGCCATGCCGTGGTGCGCCCCCCTTGGGATGTCCCCTGCACCAGTCGCCCACGCTGGGGCTCCCGTCCAAGGCGCCGCCGCTCCCAGAGACCAGGCCCCGCTGACAGGGGCCGCGGCCGACAGCCCGGCGCTGGGGCCACCGGGCTGCACGACCCTTCTCAGGCCTCCTTGGGCACCTGGGCCCAGGGGTCCCGCCCGAGCGCCAGGGTTGGGCGGGTCCGCTCCTGGCCGCGGGGCCGGGCCGCTGAGAGCGGGTCTTGGGACCCTCATCCCTCTCTGTCGGTGATGTCAACTAGGCCCCTGGTGCTGCGAGCCGGCCCTCCCGGAGCTGGTGGACGCCCACTTCGTCGTCTTCTCTTTTAAAGGGGTTGGTTTTTAAAAGGACACCCGCGGGCCCTTGGGGGCACAGGGGTTCAGTCGGGTGAAGCTGCCACAGCCACCGCAGCACCCGTGGAGTTTGAGCCCCGCCAGGGAGCGACCCAGGGCGCGCGGACCCCCCTGGCACCCGCTGCCCCTCAGCGGTGTGCTTCAGTGGATCCGCCCGTTCTGCTCCGCACTCTGCCTCTGGGGAGTCCTCTCACCCCCATCCCACCCCTCTGGCCTGCACCCCGATTCTGGTATGCATCAATAAATCAATCTAAAAAAAATCTGAGTCTCGAAACCCTCTGGACTGAACCCGCCTCCCTGGAGGAGTGTGGGCCAGGCGCACCCACTGCTGCCCTCGGGGAGCACAGCACCCCTCCCTGGGGTCTCCCCCCATCACCCTGTTTCTGTCACTGGCTTGATTTTAAGAAAGAGCCGCCCTAGACGTCAATCAGAAAAGCTGGTTTGAGAGCAAGAAACAAGGTGAGGGCTGAGGAAGCGGCACCGAGCGTCACGGCACAGGGCGGCTGGGCGCGGGGGCTGCGGGCCTGGACGCACCTGCACTGGCCGCTGTGCAGCAAGCTGGCCAGGGCTGGGTCCCTTCACTGGCCTCCCCACGGCCAGCCCTCGCTCTCGTAACTGAGCAGCGCGGGGAGACGTGGGCTGGGGTGCCCGAACTAAGGGAGTCTGGGACCCTTGGCTGTCCCGGCCAAGCCAGCCCACGGAAGCCCCAGCCCGGAGTCGGGGGGGCAACGGCAGGAGCACAAGGGGGGTCGGGAAGCCAAGGACGGGACACGGCAGCCGGCTGGGGTCACTGTCCCGACTCCAAGGGACGCCCCCTCCCGTCGCTGGGCTGCTGGGGCGGTGGGGGCCCTGGGGGGCCCTCGGGGCCCCCACCCTTCCGGCCGGCGGTGGCAGTGGCGGGCAGCGAGCCACCGCCACGGTCAGGGCGCCCACCAGCAGAGCTCACCTGGCGGGAGCCACCCCTGGGGGATGCTCTGGATCCTCAGAGGCCCCATGGCGGGGGGAGCCGAGGCAGAGCTCTGCCATGCAGGCCCGGGGTGTCTGCCGCGGTGTTGGGGCCCGGCCCCACCAGGACCCCACTGGGCGGGGAGACTCCCGGCCCTGACGTCAGCCCCGGGCCCCAGGTAACTTCCTCCCAGAGCCGCTTCCGCCCGCCACCAGGTATGGGCCCGCGGGCCGCGCCCAGGGCAGGGGCTGGGGGTCACCTGCAGCCTTCCCAGGGCAGCTCCGGGAAGCCCCCCACCTGGACCCCAGCTGGGCCCGGTGTCCAGCGAGCCGCTGGGGGACCCTGGGACCCGCGCCCTTGGGGGCTGCTGTCCATGACTGTCTCCTGGAGCTGGCCCCTGAGGCCCGCTGGGGTTCTCCGGGCCCCCCACTGACATCCCAATTCCTTCCCGATTGTTCCACAAGCTCCTGACCCTGGCCCTGGAGGCCGCTGAGTCAGTGTGCCGCGGCCTGGGTCAGTTGGGGAGCAGGAGCCTGGCCCCCAGCCCCCGAAGGGCACTTCTGTCAGAGCCCCCGAGGTGTGTTAGGGGGGTTGGGACTGCAGGTTCAGGGGTTCAGGGCCAGGGCATGGAGGAGCCCTGGTTCTGGGGCGCCTCCTTCCTGCTGGAAGGGGCAGGGCAGGCCGGGCGGACTGGTCCAGCCACATAGCAGGGCTCACACTCACCGTGGGCATAAAACCCCACTTGATGGAGCCTGCACCTGGCGCTGCTGCTCGGAGCTCCTGCCTCGGCCGGCGCCAGCCCCAGCTCCCGAGACCATGAGGTGGCCGCAGGCCCCGGCCCTGCTCCTGCTCCTGCTGAGCGCTGGTGAGTCCAGGCGCGCAGGGACTCGGCCTCCAGCACCGCCCAGCCCCCAGGAGTCCTCCCCTCCCTGCCTCCAGCGGCCTCCTGAGCTGGAGGAAGATTCCAGACTCCCCGCCTGGGGAAGTGAAGGGGGAGGCCGGATGGACAGGTGGGCCAGGCCCAGGATGAGCCCAGGCAGTAGTGGCCAGGGCTGGACCCTTCCCCCGCCGCCCCGCACGGTGCACACCCCTGGCCCCAGCACCTCAGCCTGAGCCCAGGCGCCCTGGAAAGTGACGGGTGGGGGTGGGCAGTGGGGTGAGGGGCCAGGGCCGCTGGCTCCTGCTCGCTGGGGGGGGGGAGGGAGGAGCAGGTGGCCACCCTCCCAATCCTGGGTCGGGGCCTCCCTGCGGCATTCCAGGGCCAGCCCGGCCTGCCAGCTCACCTCTCTGTCCTGGGCTCACCTCCCAGGGCCAGCCAGGTCACCCCAGGCCACCCCCAGACAGGGCTCCAGGGAGGAGGGCTCCGGGGATGCTTCCGCTGGGCCCCTGGCCTCCTGGAGCCAGCAGGAAAGGCTTCTTGGAGGGAGCCCACCTCCGCGGTGCGATGCTGCGTTGCCCCGGGGCTGCGTGACCCGGGTCAGTGCCTAGGTGGAGCTCAGACGCCCCACTGCCAGCTCCTCCCTCTGCACCCCAGCTGCTGAGTCCGAAGCAGCTGCAGGAGGGGGGGGGTTTTGGGGGGGACCCGGAAGGAACCCTGAGCCTCCCCTAGCCCCCACGGGTGCCCGCCTGACAGAGCCAGGCCTCTACGACCCCTCCTGGTCAGCCCTGCTCCAGAGCCGCTCTCAGGGCCCCCTCTGCACAAACTCTGGGTCCTTCCTGGAGCTGCTGGGCCTGTCCGCGAGGTGACATTCTACCTCGGGGGTGACGGGCAGAGCTCCAAGGTCAGAGCACTCAGGAGAGGAAGTGAGCACAGACATGGCGGGCTGCCTGGAGGAGGAAGCCTTTCCATGACCATGAAGACAGAATTTGGACTTGTCAGGATAAGGGAAGGACTTCCGGCAGGGCCTTGTGGGCAGGCCCTGGAGACCAGGCTGGGGGTACCACCGGTCAGCCGCCCCAGGAAGCTCAGGCAGGAGGCAGAGGCCTGCAAGGCTTGGGGTCCGGCTGTGCCCACTTGGTCCCGGGGTCAACAAGTCGGGTCGCCTGCTTGGATGGGAGGGGAATGGCTTTGGAAGAACTGGCACGAGGTTCTGGGACATTCCCGGAAGCCTGGAAGGTGATGAAGGCACCTTGGGGTGGACAGCCAGGAGCTTGGGCCGGCAGACCCTTGGGTCAGACTGGGCTCAGGGACAGGCCAGCCGGGCCCCCCACCATGAGCAGGCGTGTCCCCGGGCTGGTGGCGGCCCCAGGTACGGGCCTCGCAAAGCCACCCCACACTTCCTGCCCGAGGCTATGCCCCCCCCTGGCCTCCACCCTGGTCCCCCACCCCCCACTGCCAGCCCCAGACCCCCAAGCCACTAGGCTGTGCACCCAGAATGCAAGTCTGGGAGAGAAAAGGCCCCAGGGATTTGTGGCTCGGCCTCCCACTCCCTGCCCCCACTGGCCCTCCCTCCTGGCCTGAACATGAGGTCTGGGGAGCCCGGATGGAGCCATCTGAGGGGAGAGGTGTCCCCCAGACAGCCCTACCCCACTGAGGCAGGCACACTGGGGGGCTCCCCCCACGGGAGGCACCCCCAGCGGCTGTTGGCTAGCTGGGGTTTCCGGGCTACGGCAGCTCTTTGTCGAGGTATGGGGGTGCACATGGGAGGTGGGACCCAGAAGTCCTGGCTCCGCCACAGGCGCCCCTTGAGCCTGAGTCTTGGAAGCTGATCCTGTCAGCCTGCCTCCGGCTCCAGCCTCGGCCTTTCTCCCCAGCAGTGCAGACCCAGGCCCCGCCAGAGGAGGGGAGCCCCGTGGGGGAGAGCCTCCTGAGGTCCCCACCAGACCCTGCCACAGCCCGGGACACGGGGCACTGGCCTGCCCCTGCCCCGCCCCGACCTGCCAGTCTGCAGAGTGGAGGCGGCACTGGCTGGGCGGGTGGCAAGCAGGTGACCCCCCCCTTTCCTCCCTGCAGGACCCCAGGGGCCCGAGGCACTGACAGGTAAGGCCAGGGGAAGGACAGCAGCAGCTCATGCCAGGGGTACACAACCCCCCCCCCACCACTCCACACACGACAGAGGAAACCAAGTGGGATGGTCAAAGTAGGGAGAGTGGACCAAGGCCGGCCACGAGGCCCCAAGCACGTGCGGAGAATCTGGGGTGCGGCTCTGAGTCATCCTGTCCAGCGCAGACACCTCAGGGTCAGCTCCCACGGTGCGACCCCAGCACTCACGCCTGGCAGCCCCACGAGCCTCGCGGACTGTCCTCTCCATCCCCAGGCCCACGGGCCTGAGTCCCACTTACGGGGAGGGGGCGCCCCACCTGGGGGTCCCCTGTGCAGGGGCTCCTCGGGGCCCCGAGCTCAGGGCCAGGGGCGCAGGACCTGAGCAGCGGGAGGGCTGGGGGGCAGCAAGGCCCCACCGAGCAGCGCCTGGCCCGTCCCCACAGTTTGCGGGCGCCCCAGGATGCGGAGCCGGATGGTGGGCGGGCAGGACGCCCGGGAGGGCGAGTGGCCGTGGCAGGTCAGCATTCAGCGCAACGGGAGCCACTTCTGCGGGGGCAGCCTCGTCGCC